AAAAAAAAAAAAAGTCAGGCGCAGTGGCTCACGCCTGTAATCTCAGCACTTTGGGAGGCTGAGGCTGGTGGATCATGAGGTCAGGAGTTTGAGACCAGCCTGGCCAACAATGGTAAAACCCCATCTCTACTAAAAATACAAAAATTAGCTGGGCATGGTGGCGCGTGCCTGTAGTCCCAGCTACTCAGGAGGCCTCATGAGGCAGGAGAATTGCTTGAACCTGGGAGGCAGAGGTTGCAGTGAGCTGAGATCGTACCAGTGCACTCCAGCCTGGGCAACAGAGTGAGACCCCGTCTCAGAATCCATCTCAGAGTAGCTCAGCAGTACATGTACGTAATTTATGCTCAAATATATATAAGTATGTATATATGTATATATATATTTGAGCATAAATTACGTACATGTACTGTTAAGCCACTACTATGGGAATGTTATAAAACACAAACATACCTAAAAAATTTTTAAATGTAAAGAATGATAAACATGAAGAGAAGTTCTGATATTCTGTTCCTGAATTGCAGTGGATCATCTTTTGCATCCTATGTGAGAACCCCACTTTGGAGACCATTGTTCTACCAGTACTGGTTTACAGTCTGTATTCCATAGACTTGCCCCAGGTATTCCAGGAGTGTATTTCAGGGATAGGATTAGGGGTGCCACTGAGAGGAGTCCTGACTTCCATCTCCTCATCAATCAGCTCTCCTCTCTATGTTTGCTACTGAGGATATACATATGAATTCAGTTGAGGAAAGTATCCCCTGCTTTCAAAAATGTTTAACACCTAACCACTCCTCTAACAGAGTGATTTGGTCAGTCTCAGTATCAGACCATTCGAAGCTTACAGATACATAGATGGAGATCCGGGCCTCTCAAAGACAAAAATGATTTATGAATGTACGTAGATAAATAAATTAATTTTTCATTAGAGAAGTGGGGAAAGTAGTAGGCAAGTTTCAAGCTCTAGAATAATTGTGCCTGGAGAGAGTTACTATATTTTGAGATCAGATGGAGAAAATTTTTGGAGAAAGTAGGCTCTATGGAATTATTAAATTGAAGACTTGAATTAGGCATAACCTGTCTGATAAAATGACTCTCTGTTTTGGCAGTCAACACAAAGAAAGACTCAGAGTCAGCCCCAGTCAAAGGCGGCACCATGACTGACCTGGGTAAGACGGGACATCTTGAGCAAGGCAGTCAGAGCCAAGGGGAGGGGAGGGCTCATCTGCCCCCTTTTTGCTAGCCTGATGGGCTTTTGGTAGGGCTTTCTTGTCCCTCAGGGGGCTTCAGCCTTACATTTTGCTGTCTTTCTCTTTCAGATGAACAGGAAGATGAAAGCATGGAGACGACGGGCAAGGTGGAGCCAGTTTAGAGAGGCCCTACCTCTCTATGTGATTCTTACTTGTGATTATAAAGTTCATTCTGCCCAAACTTTTCACTGTCCAGACTTTTCTCACCCTAGAGTAATTCTAGCTGTTGTACAAAACTCTGACCCTTTCAGAGTCCGGGGGCCCATGACTGCTCAGTCCCATCACCCATCTTTAGTGTCCACATTCCTGGGGTGTGGGAGAAGCAGAGGGTTGCTAGGGAGGAAACAGGAATGCTGAGTGTCCAGCAGCCTCCATACTTGTAGGATGAGGATGAGAACAGCACAGGGAACAAGGGGGAGCAGACCAAGAATCCAGATCTGCATGAGGACAACGTGACAGAACAGACCCACCACATCATCATTCCCAGCTACGCGGCCTGGTTCGACTACAATAGGTATGGCTTCCCCAACTTCTCGCTGAGCCCTATTTTCCTGCCTCCAGGGGTCAACAGACTGTTCTTCTCCCTGCCTCCTCCAAATGAATTATTTCTTCCTCAGCCAGATAGACCAGAGTACACTTTAGTTTTAGGGTAGCTCCTGGTGTCCTTTTGAGTCTTACAGCCCTTGTGGGATGTTCTCCCCAAGCTTCTAATAACTTCCAGCAATTTTGAGCTCTTTTCCTTCTCTTCTAGGGTTTTCCTCCCTTTGGGGCCCCCATCCCTTCACCAGTGCCTTCTTCTGAAACCACTCTGGCTTCTCTTGCAGCGTTCATGCCATTGAGCGGAGGGCTCTTCCTGAGTTCTTCAACGGCAAGAACAAGTCCAAGACTCCAGAGATGTAAGGAAATCTCAGCTCATATTTCTCCTTCTCCCTCCTGTTCCCTGATTCACCCTTCCTGATCCAATAACATTCAGTTTAGCAAACATTTATTGAGCTCCTTCCATGAGCCAGGCACTGTGATAGGCTTACAAAGACACTATATCTGCCCTTAGGCAGCCCTGACCCAACATGTAGACACATGTTTTTTAGGATTTGCCCAAGGGTGATATTAAGCATGTTCTATACATAACAAGTACATAGTCCAGTGCCTCAAATTCTTTTTAACAGGATATAGAGCCTTTCAATCCATAATTACTGATAATTGTCTATACTGCAGATATCCTCAGCAAAAGTAATCATTTTGATTAAAGTATAAATTACTATTACCAGGCTGGTTCCTGAGAGGAGGTTTTGATAGAAAAACAAGAGAAGGAACTAATAGAAGACCCGTTTATATGAATTAAGGGATGGAGAGGGCTCTCTGGGAAAGAAGTGTAAGAGCCACAGTGGCTCACAACTGTAAATCATCCCATTAGGACGCTGAGACAGGATTGCTTGAGGCTAGGAGTTCGAGAATAGCATGAGCAACATAGCGAGACTCCCATCTCTAAAGAAGTGGGAAAAAAAATCAGCTGGGCATGGTGGGGCATGCCTGTGGTCCCAGCTACTTGGGAAGCTGAAATGGGAGGATTGCTTGAGTCCAGGTGTTTGAGGCTGCAGTCAGCTATGATCATGCCATTGCACTCCAGCCTTGGTGACACAGCAAGACCCCATCTCTAAAAATTTAATGAACAAATAAAGTACGGGTTTGGGGCTCAAAAGTCTTCATCATCTTCAAGATTTTGCCTCAGGCCAAACCTGCCTGGCTTTGGATAAGACTTGACAATCTTCTTTGGTTAGGGATACTTCAAGATAACCACGCTGATGACGTGGGTGAGACTGAGAACTTAACAAGTTTTCTTCCCAACTATTCTACAGCTTCCTCTCTCTGGGGGTCCCTCCATGTGTTTTCCCCATAGTTTTGTATGGTTCTCTCTTCCTTCTCTTCCTGGGGAAAGCAGTATGTGTGAAAAGAAGTAGTGATCAGGTGAAATGAATTCAATATGACATGCAGTCAGGGATGGAGTAAGAAATGAACTCTTGGTATAAAATACTAAATGATGATAATTGCCTACATTTATTGAGAGCTTACTATCTCCCAGGCACTATCCTAAATGTCCAACATACATTGAGTAATTTAATCTTTACGTCGACCTTAGAGGTGGGTATCCTCTTCAGTTGACAGATAGGATATAGAGGAGTCAGGTCAACTGCATAAAGTCACAGAGCTAGTATGTAAAACCAGAATCTGAATCCTTTGATCTGACCCATGTTCTGAAACTTTACACTGTACCACATATAGCTGCCATTTTTTTGAGCCCCTACAGTGTGCCAGGCACTGTACTCCTACTTTATAGACCTCTCATTCTCAAGAGACATTCCATTGTACAGATGAGGAAATCGAGGTTTAAAAAAATTGAAGTAAATTGCCAAGGTCCTCATGGTAGAACTGGGATTTGAACTTAAATCTTTTCAACTTCATAACATATGTTTTTTTACCATGTTATGCTGACTAGCTGTGTGCATGAATAAGGACTTCCCTTTAACATCTGAGTTGGAGTTTCTTTTTCAGACGGAGTCTTGCCCTGTCACCCAGGCTGGAGTGCAACGATGTAGTCTCGACTCACTGCAACCTCTACCTCTTGGGTTCAAGTGATTCTCCTGCCTCAGCC